CTGGCTGGAGGTTTTAGAATGGCTACTCCAGCTTGTTTCTTAGGACCATTTGCTTGAAAAATTGTTTTTTAGCCTTTTACTCTAAGGTAGTGTCTGTCTTTGTCACTGAGGTGGGTTTCCTGTATGCAGCAAAATACTGGGTCCTGTTTACGTATCCAGTCTGTTAGCCTATGTCTTTTTATTGGGGAACTGAGTCCATTGATGTTAAGAGATATTAAGGAACAGTGATTGTTGCTTCCTGTTATTTTTGTTATTAGAGGTTGGATTTGTTGGAAGAGGATTACTTTCTTGCTCTTTCTAGAGTATAATTTCCCTCCTTGTATTGGAGCTTTCCCGCTATTATCCTTTGTAATGCTGGGTTTGTGGAAAGATATTGTGTAAATTTGGATTTGTCATGGAATATCTTGGTTTCTCCATCTATGGTAATTGAGAGTTTTGCTGGATATAGTAGCCTGGGCTGGCATTTGTGTTCTCTTAGGGTCTGTATGACATCTGTCCAGGATCTTCTCACTTTTATAGTATCTGTTGAGAAGTCTGGTGTAATTCTGATAGGTCTGCCTTTATATGTTACTTGGCCTTTTTCCCTTATGCATCTAATATTCTTTCTTCATTTTGTGCATTTGGTGTTTTGATTATTATGTGATGGAAGGTATTTCTTTTCTGTTCTAGTCTATTTGGCATTCTGCAGGCTTCTTGTAAGTTTATGGGCATCTTGTTCTTTAGGTTAGGGAAGTTTTCTTCTATAATTTTGTTGAAGATATTTATTGGCCCTTTAAGTTGGGAATCTTCACTCTCATCTATGCCTATTATCCTTAGGTTTAGTCTTCTCATTGTGTCCTGGATTTCCTGGATGTTTTGTGTTAAGAACTTTTTGCATTTTGCATTTTCTTGACAGTTGTGTCAATATTTTCTATGGTATCTTCTGCACCTGAGATTCTCTCTTCTATCTCTTGTATTCTGTTGGTGATGCTTGCATCTATGACTCCTGATTTTTTTTCTAGGTTTTCTATCTCCAGGGTAGTCTCCCTTTGTGATTTCTTTATTGTTTCTACTTCCATTTTTAAGTTCTGGATGATTTTGTTCAATTCCTTCACCTGTTTGGTTGTGTTCTCTTGTAATTCTTTAAGGGATTTTTGTGTTTCCTCTTTAAAGGCTTCTATCTGTTTACCTGTATTCTCTTCAAATTTTTTGAGAGTGTTATTTATGTCCTTCTTAAAGTCCTCTATCATCATTATTAGAAGTGATTTTCAATCTGAGTCTTGCTTTCCTGGTGATATGAGGAATTCAGGACTTCTAGTGTGGGAGAACTAGGTTCTAATGATGCCAAGTACCCTGGGTTGCTGATGCTTATGTTCTTGCGCTTGCCTTTCACCATCTGGATCTCCTTAGTGCTACCTGCCCTGTCTCTGACTGGAGCCTGTCTTTCTTATTATCTTGGTTGTTTCAGAACTGTGTGGAGTGGGTGTTACTACTGGGGTTAGAGCTGGGGCCCAAGATCTGCACATTGCTCGGGTACCAGAAGGAACCAGTGTTCCGGGCCAGGAGTGAATTCCTGGGTCCCAGTGGGTCCCAGTTACTCCCTGTTTGGAGCGGGTGTTGCTGTCTCCTTACCTAAGATACTGCCCAGGTTAGTGTTCCTGGGTGGCCCGCTTCCTCTGGGATTTGTGAGATTGGGTGCAGAGCTGCCGCCTAGGATCTGCTCAGTGCTCGGGTCCAGACCGGAAGCCACATTTATTTATTGTCTGCTGGGAGTGGAATAAGTAGAAAGGTGCCATAGCACAAGAGTCTCCCTCCACCAGAGTCAGAGAACCACCTGCAGGAATCAGCTCTCTCCCTTCACTGTATGGGTCCTGAGGATGGAATTCATGTTGTCAAGGTTGATGGTAGGCAATTTACTCACTCATATTGCTGTCCCCTGAAAGTTTATTTAAGATCCCCATTGCTGCTTAGCAGCATACACATAAAATAAATATTAAAAAAATCATATGGAGAATCCAGTTTATATACAACAACATTTACATTTTGAGTATAGGTAATAGATATAACAACTGTATACAACTATGTAACTCCAGAGCTTTTCTGTCTTCTACAAAATTCCCTCTGGGCACTCAAAGGCTTTAAGTAGTACAGGCTATATGTAAAAATGCTAAGTTCTCACTGGAGAGCCCCAGAGGGGGAACCCAGTTGCTTTTAGATTTATAGAACTATAGCTTTGAAATATCTTGCCATGGCCTTGAAGGAAGCAATAGCTAAAATTTTGGTACATGTAAAAACCTAGAAAAAGATGGATGGATGAACCTAGAAAAAAGATGGATGACTGGATGAATAGAGTGAGTGAGTGACTGTGTAGTGAATGGTAACGACAGTGTTGAAGAACAACTTCCCTGTCCTTTGAATGTCAGCCCCTGTTACATTTTGAGATATGTAGCATGTGTCTTACGTACTAGTGATGCTTGCTAACTTTATAAAACTAACCCTAAAATAAAGTTTGAGAAACTTTAGAGAAAGGAGAAAAATCAGAAAGACCAGCCTTTAGTTGACTGGAGACCATGAAGAACAAATGCTAATAAGATTGATATCTTGACACAAGTAGGATAGACAGTATTTTGGGGTGCCACTGAGGACCAGTGTATTAAATCATCACTCCTTATCTCAGCTTTGGGAAATACTGTAAAGTGAACATGCTTCCTCATGATAGAGGAGCTTACTATATAGCACAGGCTAGTATCAAACTTGTGATCTTTTTGCCTGTGCATACTGGTATTTGCCACACCTGGCTGTATCTCAGGTCTAGCATGGTGACAGGGAGGCTGAAAAAAGCCAAGGAATTAGAGCTTTTGCATTTTCCCTGTCTTAAGAGGAACATGCGTTATTGCCTTTGTGCATACCATCCACTCTGCTACTCTTGTACACTGTGGTCATCTTGGCCTTGGACTGATGGGATGGTCCTTACACAGAATACAAGAGAGTACAGTCATAACACATTTGGCATGCATTTGTTATTTCAATTGTGCACAATGCCACTTATTTGTATTTTCTTGGTCCCTCAATTTTTTCCATCAGAAGAGCCAGGTTTAGGTTCTCTGCAGTACATTATAGCCTCTTCCGGTTTCCTACATACTTGCCTATCTTTCTGGTTTTATCTTGTTTCGTCCTCACTGCCATTTAGCCTTAACAAGTGGTTATGCTCCCCATTGACCCTCCCTTTGTGGCTCTCTGTTGTTTGTAGTGTGTCCTCTAGAAAGCTTATTCAGGGCAGAATTACATATTATTTTTCTGTATGATGGTTTTCTTCAATATGTAGAGTAGTTACTCACTGGTATCATGAAACTTAGGCTCTAGGCTGACTAATGTGGGTACCCAGAGTTTCCTCCACATGTTCGTAGAGTTCTTTTCTCAGTACACTGCTTGTATAACAGGACTAATCCAGAGCATCATGGGAAAGGATAGGTCTCACTTGAGTGATGGTTGGAGAACCAGTAGCCTCTGATAAGAGCTGTGTACTCAGGGAAGAGACCTGTAAGCCTCCTTTGGAAGTTTTAGTTTCCTTAGAGAGCATTGTTTTGGTTTTAATTTGGGTTTTAGAGTAAATGCTTCCTGTAACCATGTAGGCAGGAAAGGCTCAGGAATTAGAGTAGATCTGACTTTTCTATCCCTTATGCCCCACCCCCCATTTCTTTCTGTTGTGCTTCAGGAGTGGCAGTTAAATCTACCTAAGGCTTCTGTGTTTATTACCAGACATGACTCCTCTTGTTGTAGTTCACTAATTAGTTTTGAATAGTTGTTCCTTTCTCCCTGAATTTCAGGAGGTGGAGGGAGAAAGAGGAAGTAGTTTACCTAATCCCGACAAGAAGTTCTTTCTGTTGGCAACTTTGAGATTCCAAAAATTGAAATAAACTAATAACATACATTATAGCTTATAGCATCCCAAAGAAAGAATAGTTTGAGATTTTTATAAATCTGAAATACTTAGTACCTATTTATAAGTAATTTGTACTCAAAAAAAAATATCTATGGCTAGGTATGTAGTTCAGTGATAAATTTCTTTTTTTTTTTTAATAATTTATTTTTTTCTCAAATCGTAATTCATTCACACAGGGGTTATAAATACAGAAAGGCAGGATGTGGGGAAGGGGATGACACTGGAGTGTGGGTGTTCGGGGGGAATACAGATATCTTTCAGAACCGGGTATCGGCTGGGTAAAGGTTCAGGGGACAGGTTACTATGACTCTGCCTATGACTCACTTGTCCTTATCTAAGTTGGTATTGTCTGCCAAGGCTACCTATTTACAAGGTCTATGACTACTTGGGCTGGTAAATTTCCACAAAAGCTGCCTGTTTACAATAGCTTATAGCCATCTGTTTCAATGTTTTCCCACTGAGACCCAAGACTTGGTGTTAGTATACATGTATGACAGGCCTATTGCTGATTTTAGGCCTATGGCTGATTTTAGGCCTTCAGTGTGTAATCAGGGTTGCCCCTGACATCTCCTCCCTTCTCTAAGTATAGAAGGGCTGTGGTGATTCTAATCTTGCGAAGGCAGGGATAGAGGCCTGACAGTGATAAATTTCTTGTCTAAAGTGCAGAGCTCTGGGTTTGATCCAGCATCATAAACTATGCACATATTGGGAGGTGGGGGACACGGAAGTATTGCAGTCTATCAGCATTTGGTCCTGTATGGTAATTGGGACCCTTAGCAAGGTAACTACAACTTACCCAAAATTGGAAGGAACCTGCAGCTTTTCAGTGTAAAACTATCAGTTTTTCATTTGCCTTACGTGATATGACATGAGATGAAAGCTCTTGTACCAGCAAAGCGAAGCTCTGTTAATTAAAAGTCATTGTAGTACATGATAGCTGTGCTATGTGGCTAGGTTGCAAGTTGTGTTAAATAAAGACAGATTTGTTCTTTCTTAGAAGTAAAAATGAATCTGTATGCAACTTTATTTTTATTTCTAAATCCATTTTGGGAAAGTTAATTGCAACTGTGTGGTTCAGGGATTTAGTGCAAGAAGAAGAACAGTTGATGGAAGAAAAGAAAAAGAAAAAAGACGACAAGAAAAAGAAGGAAGCTGCTCAAAAGAAGGTAGTATTTGATAAACTTTGTTAAGCAGTTTGAACATAGAATAAAAGGAAACTACTCATGACTTTGTTAAAGCATCTGATTAAGTTTGTTATCTTCATTGAAGATTCATTTTAATATTTAATGTCTTTGAATGTGCGTATATGTTTGCCAAATGTGTAATTCAATGCATAATCTTGCCCATACTGAGTTTTTCAAAGGTAAGTACATCTCATGGGGTTTATCTTTCAATTAGTGATTCCTATGTATTTCATTATACTTTTATAAGTTGGGAAAACAAAGAAGCTTAGTGACTTCGAACATACAGAGGGTTTTGATGCCTTACTTGTTCATACAGCCTTAGAGTGACATGACCATCAATTTTATTTAGCCTTCTTGGGCGTCAGTTTCTTTATGTTTTGTAAAACAAGTGTTGAGTTAAATGAGGTAATAAAATACATGAGCAAAGTAGGAAATAAAGTAAATTGTATTTAAGCAAATCATATTTAAACAAGTTTTGACATGATAAAGAGTAAAAGTCCCCTTTAATTTAATGCCTGTGCTGAGTTTCTAAATTTTCACTTTAAAACAAGCCCTAAGGTATTTTTGGAAAAGAACTCCGTGTTCAATACAGGTTAAGAAGCTGGAGCCGAAGCAAGTATGCAAAGGCCACTGACCACATATCTGCCACTCAGTCTTCTCTGTCAAATTCTGAAGGACCTTAAAATGTTCCAAAAGACCCAATAAACCACTATGTATTTATTTTAGTGAAAAAGTACTGCTGTACTCTTTAAATATGTATCTTAGGTAAGGAGGCATCGTGCTAGGACCTTATCATTCAGCCCAGACACAAAAGGCATAATGCATGAATCCTGTCTTTATGGGAAGCTGTTGAAGCACAAAGGAAGAAGGTAACAGTCTGAGATGGAGCAGAGGGATAGGATAGTTTCTAAGAATAGAAATGAGTCAGGTGGTTAAGGAGCAGAAAAGAACTCCAGGCACTCAGAACTAGGACTTTGTAGCCTGTGTGTATTAAAATATGGAGGCTTTGCGGGGGCAGGTGTAGAGAAGGAGTATCAGGAGATAGTTCTGAAGCAGTGAGTGATGGGTAAAGTCTCTTCTTGAGATTTTGAGTGTTTGTATTTCCCTCAGGAAAATGTTGGATTAGATTGGAAGAGATTGAAGTACTGATTTAAGGAACTGTTGACATAAACCATAGAATTTGCTTAGTAGCTATGAAGATAGAACATCCTCACTTGACTTTTAGATTCCATTGAGTGATTAAATATTGGGAACCGTTACTCTGCTTAGTGAGTACAAAAAAAGAAGTGATAAGTTAATTAGTTTTGGGTGTGTTAAACTTCCTGCACCATTGGGAGAAGTAATAGAATACAGAGCCATTTGGAGAACTGAGTCTGAGGAGAGATAGTAGGTGACACTAGTCATCTGTCAGTCCAGTCTGGCCACCCTCAGGGGAAGCTGGAAGAAATATACAGGTGCATTACAGGTGTTTGGATAATGCTCTAGTATAGAGTCTTGTGTTGTCCGATGCCTTGAGGCTCCACCAGAGGCTTTTTGATGTTGTATGGTCTTTGCAATTTGGTCTGTCTTTATTTGGTATTAATGAAAAAGTTGTATCCTCAAGTTAAGGTTGGGAAAAACTTACTGTACTCTTGGGCCATGGTGCCATTTGCCCATAAAAGAACTCTTGAGGTAAAGTAGAGATTGGTGATGAGGCTAGTTGATGTGCTTAGTGTAGAAACTGGTTTGGCTAGCATCTGCGTGTTGTTGCCTGTCTTAGTCAGGGTTTCTATTCCTGTACTAACAACATGACCAAGAAGCAAGTTGAGGAGGAAAGGGTTTATTCAGCTTACATTTCCACATTCCAAAAGAAGTCAGAATTGGAACTCAAGCAGGTCAGGAAGCAGGAGCTGATGCAGAGGCCATGGAGGGATGTTACTTACTGTCTTGCTTCCCCTGGTTTGCTCAGCTTGCTTTCTTACAGAACCCAGGACTACCAGCCCAGGATGGCACCACCTACAATGGGCCCTCTCACCCTTGATCACTAATTGAGAAAATGCCTTATAGCTGGATTTCATGGAGACATTTCCTCAAGGGAGGCTCCTTTCTCTGTGATAACTCCAGCTTGTGTCAAGTTGACACACAAAATCAGCCAGTACATTGCCTTAGGCCTTGTTGGTCCTAAGGAGTTGAAGATTTAACTGGTAAGTTACAATACAACGTATCTAGGAAAGAGTCTAAGGTAATAATTAAGAATATGTGTTTGGAATTTGAGGAGATTCTGCAAAAGGATGATGCTTAGTAGAATAATTTTAAGTCATCATATAGAAATTATGGCTCAGTTGTGAAAGATCATCTTTACCTTCCCTCACAATCAGCTTTTTAAATCACCAAGTCACTAAAGGTACCTCCTTATGTATGCATACATTTACATGGAGCTCATGAATGGTGTTTGCTTGTTATTTGTCATTGTCAGATCTGCAGGGACAGCTTTTAATTTTTCCCACTTCTTCCCTGCCTCAGTGGCTCCAGTCTCACTCTCATCATATCCCACAAGAACCACCCACCAGATGCTGAAAGAAAAATGGCTTGCTTTTACCAGATCTTCCACATGGCTACAGTATTGCTATGTATCCTGTCAATCCACTGAACAGTCTAAAGGAAGTTGAGAACCCCTAATAATTGTTAAATTTCATTGTCCAGACTGCCAGTGTAAATACAGCTTCTCCAAATTGCAGAAAACCAGCTTATAACTGAATTTGAATGCAACCTGTTGGCAAAATAAGGACAGCTGGTATTTCCATACACTGCTACCAAATAGCTCCTTAAAAAAAGAAAACTCCCAGATTGGCCCATATGAAAGACATGAGTCACAAACTGTTAAGACAAGGTTTGTGGAGCTTTCTTTTGTTTTCTGTAGGAGCCAGGAAGTATATCGCAGTATAGGAGACAAACATGAGTCAAGTGGGCAGAATCATTTACATGAATGTTTGAACATAAGTTCATCACAACTCACCTGCTCTATGTATGAACCTTGCACTTTCCCTTCATGTTAGCAGCTATCTGTTCTAATCTGTTTGTGTTCAGAATGACTTCAGTGGCTGATGTTGGTTTCATTATGGCAACAGACGCAGAATTAAAGTTGAAACCTCATTCTCTCATTGGGTATCTATTTACAGCTCTACCTCAGCACTCTGTTTTCCATGCAGTGTTACTCATACTTTTTTGTTTTTTACCATATACAGGGGAACTTTTAAATTGAGAAATTATCTATAAGGAACATTTTATAATTCGATAGAAAGTGTAGGTTCTCTTTAAGTGCTAGATATTAAACACAGAGCGTTGAGCGTGCTAATAAGCTAGCTCTCCACTGAACCAGATTCCTGTGCCTCTCCCTCTTGATAGCTTATTAGGCATCATCAAAACTCACTACAGTGTTTTAACAATAATAGGTCTTTTATTTTGTTATTTAAGCATATATTCAAATATTTAGTGTTTCTCTAAGAAATTCTATATAAAAATTAGGTACTTTAAAAAAATAGTATTTTCCATCCTAGTAAATGATCATGATACTCAGTGAGTTAATAACTTCATTTTAAACATTTTTCTGTTCTAAAAGCCTTATCCTAATAAGCTGGCCATGTATGTGCAGTACTTTTTATATGATGAAGAATCTCCTGGTTCTTAGACCTAAAAAATAATTTGATGGAGCACAGACATATAGCTTCAACCTTAAAGGGGATATTAGCTGGACCTCCAGGTTCCAGTTTTATAAGAAAACTTTCAAAAGGGATCTTAAGGGAGGTGCAGTGAAGACCAGAGAGATTGAGAAATAGTTTAATTATGAGGGATAATGTAGACCATCCTTCACTTAACCATGTAACTTAGTACCTAGAAAGTTTGTGGTAGTAAAGTGTTAGGACAGCAATGATACAAACTGGAATTTTTCTGATGAGATAGATTTCAACAGTTGTGCTATTTTAGGTGTTGCTGTTACTGTTTGAATTGAAGGGATTTTATGAATGTAAGTTACTAAAGCCTAAGAGAGACTTGGGCTGTAGAAATGTCTGACTTCTTCCCTTCCTTAGATCTGAATCTCATCAGAGCATTTCTCTGAAACATTGGTGCTAATATGATCAGACTGAGGAAGTGCTTGTCGAGGGCAGTGAGATGCCTTTCCTACAGCTCTCTCTCTTCCCGTACACCTTACTCTTCCTGTAGTGTTCACCAGACCAGGGTTCTAGACTAGGTACCATTTGCTAACTTATAGGAAAGACTTTTGAGTAGTTGTTATCTCAATTTTAAAAAGTGAGTTGAACTAAATCAATTCTTTATTCCTTGTGTCTTAGTTACTTTTCTATGTGAAGAGACACTGACAAAGGCAACTCATAGAAGGGTTTATTGGAGCTCACAGTTCCTGATGACCACCATGGTGTAGCATAGAGTCAGCATGGCATTGGGGCAATAGCTGAGAGCTTACATTTTGATCAAGCAAGAGGCACAGAGAGCTAACTGGGAATGGTGGGCTTTTGAAACCTTAAAGCTCATCCCCAGTGATATACTTCCTCCAAGGTCATACCTCCTTATTCTTCCCAGCCAACCAACTGGAGACCAAGTATTTGAACATCTGAGCCTGTAGGAGTCATTCCAACCACCATAGTTTATAATATCTGGATGGTGTTGTCAATGATCAGAAAGGAGAAAGACAGAACTGAGAATGAGTATCAACTCATTTCCACATGTGAGAGTTAGAGCCAAGAGCAATTTAATTATGCTGCGTTCTTAGACCAGCCTACAGAAACTTACTTTAAGAAGCAAAATTCTATTATTTCTTCCATTTCCTCCTCATCAATTATAATGAGCGCTGGATTTTTATCAGATTCATTCCTTCACCATGTTAGGTCAGTGTTCTCAGGGTTAATTAATACCATGTATTACCTCCTGGGGCCATTCTCTGTTGGTGACATAATAGTGGATGAGGCTGGTCATTATTCTAGAGCAGTTGATCTCAAACTCCTTTAGGGATAAAATGGCCCTTTCAATGGGATTGTCTGTCGCCATCGGAAAACACAGACTTACATAATGATTCATAACTACCAAATTAGAGTTATGAAATAGCAATGAAAATAATTTTATAGTTGGGGATTACCACAACATAAGGGTCATAATATTAGGGAGGTTGAAAACCACTGTTCTAGAACATCATAAGACTACTTTCTCACACCCAACACCATTTTCTAAAGTCTATAAAAGTATCATTGTATGCTTTTGGTTTTAATAATGTCATAATTTCTATGTCTTGCAGTTTATCTTTCTTTGAAAGAGATCTGTAGAGTTTTGGGGAGGAACTTACAAAGTAATTCTTATGCTGAGTCTTTGACTTTGTAAGATATCTTAACATGTGTAACAAGGTACTTCTAACACTTCACAGAGTTCTAAGTTCTAAGAATTATATATTTTTTTTCTATAATCTGATTTTCAAAATTATAGCCAGGTGGTGTTATCGAACACCTTTAAAATACCAGCACTTGGGAAGGCAGAGGCAGGTGAATCTCTGGAGTTCAAGGCCATCCTGGTCTACAGAGCTAGTTCGAGGACAGTCAGGGCTGCACACAGAAACCTTGTCTTGAAAAAAACAAAATAAAACAAAAATACTTTTCCCTAAAATAAATAACTATTGTCTAGCTAGTTAGCAGGTCTTTTAGCATTACCTTTCCATCACTGTTTCTCTTTTAATTTTGATCATAAAATACAAGATGGGCCTCCATTATTTTGTGTATCTCTAATACTCTAAAACTGGACAAAGCATCATAGTGAAAGCTGAACATTTGGTGTGGCTTCAAAAGTAGAATAATTGTAGTTTTTATTATATATTTATAATGACATAATATGGAATGTTTGATACCTTAATAACTTTATTTGGCTAAGCAAAATGAATTACTATGCCCTGAAAAAAAGCTTTGTCTTAATTTAGAAATAATTCTTACTTAGTTATTATTATTCCACCTTTTCCAGTCAGCCTGAATGTTCTTGAATATTTTACATTCAGGTCTCCATACCACGGTTTGGATGAGAAGGTGATTTGCTTAGGGTCCTCTCTTGCTGTTTTTTTCTTTTTTTTTTTTTTAAATAGTTCTTGTGGAGGCCCTTGCAGTTTGAGCTGCTTGCTTGAGTTAGCCCCACTGTCCTCCAGCTTTCTCCTCATGCTTGCTGTCAGAGAACTGATAAGCATCGGCATAGACCTTAGAAAGTAGGTTTATCAGCTCACCTTGCTGCCAGTTATTCATTTTTGTTACATGTGTTAAAAACAAGTTAGTTTGAAGTTTTTCCACATAGCAGATACTGAAAAGCTGACTATATTAGCTAAAACATCAACTTGATCTCCAGAATTAAATTTATTACAAATTTGGCCAGAGTAATTATGTATAACTTTTCTTATAGAAAGTGTAATTCCTTGATCATTTGAAGCCAGTCAAACATGCAAAATTTATTCCAAAACTATTTATGCAAAGGTGATAATTATAAAATCATTTAAAATGTAACATGAGAAACATGTTATATTCCTTTAGAAAATTATAAGCCACCATAAAATGTTTTCTATGCTTTATGTCTAAAGAATTAGTACAGAAATTTTTATTAGTAAACATATTATCAAGAACAATGGGGCACATCTATGGGAAAAGAATGCTTGCATGCATGTCTTTTCCTGTATAGTTCATCTAAATGATAATTTCTTTAATAAAAATGTATATCTTATATAATAGTGATATATGAACATTTTATCATAACAATTCATTTCTTTCAGTTTCATATTTACATTGTTTTTTGTTTGTTTGTTTTCATTTTAGGCCACTGAACAAAAAATCAAAGGTACGTTGTTTAAAGCTATTTCTTTTTTTTTTCTTTAAAATCAAGTTGTTTATGTGCATTTTTATTCACCTTCAGGATGGGAGAGAAATGTATGAAGAAAACTGGGGTGGGAATGGACTGTTTCAGTGAAGTCACGTTGATGTCTTCCTTGGAGCTTTTTTATGGTGTATATCCCACATTGAGAAGATACTGTCCTAAGGCTGTCTTTTGAGTAGATCCTAGTTTCTAATGCTGTCTGATGTGAGTCTTAGGCCCATGCCTTCACTTCAGTCTTCCACTCTAAACTCTTACTCAGGGGTGGTGTCAGTTAGTTTCTGCCTGCTTCATTCTTTGTTCTCTGTCCTTTATAAAGGTATAGGAGTGACTCCTATTTCTGTATTATCACTTAAATAATACATTGCTAACTCTGGGGTCATTGAGCCAGGTTACCTAAGCACCCTGGACTGAAGATTTAGAGCTTAACCTCTCGAAAATCCTGGTTTAAGAGTCCTTCAGCTTCCATCTGACTACTTAGTAGTCAAAGTTGTACAGCTCAGAGACTGAGTTTACTCAGCTTCAGCATACCAAGTTGGGGTTTTAGCTGTATCAGAACTATGCTCTCCATGTCTTATTAGTATGTATATTCACAGTACAACCTATGGTTATGAGAGTCATACTAGTTAAGGCAACATCCATTAGTTTCTCTTATATAAGAGTATATAAGAATAGTTAACCTATATTTCACTGAAGAAAGGTTTTGCATGAATCTAAGGAAAAATTGAGAGCTAGGAATTTGAGAGTGTAAATCGATTTATTTACAGTTTGACCAGAGCTGTAAAGAAATTCTCAGTCTCTCTCTGCTTTACCCATACCAGTGTTATAATTTATTGGAAAGATTCAGCAGACAGAAAGAACTATACACATAGAGATTTAGCTGTGAGTATAGATTACAAACCACCTGGGAAAGAAAGTCATTTGCTCAGCTTCAGGGCTCCCATGAGTGGCCTGTCTACCCAACCTGGTATTTTCTGGAGAAATTATAATCCCTTGTTTGGGGAGGTAAGTCAAATCTGAATTTAACCACAAGAACCCATGGAAAAGTATTGAGCATGGCAGCATGCTATTATAATCCCAGAACTGGGGAGATGGATAGACACAGAAGGATTCCTGGAGCTTGATAGCCAGCCAGTCACGCCAGATTTGTGAGCTTCAGACCACTGTGAGAATATCTCTTGAAGACGATGGAGGGCATTCCTGAACATGACACACAAAGTGGTTTTTCTGGGTTTTACACACACACACACACACACCGGCAGACGGGCTCACTGATTGCATCCATAAGAAAAGAAACTATAATTCATAAGACTCCTATTGTATAGTGGAAACTGTAGGCACACTTAAACAGAATACAATGCAATACAATGTAGTTCAACTGAGTAAGTTATCCTTAAGTACAGAGGAGTACTATTTCACCTGACAGGAATGAAGCCTTAAACAGAGTCGAATAGAGTTGAGGCTGAAGAAACAGGTGGGATTCAGGTCCAAGGGAGCTTTATATATTTATGTAAATGGTATATATTCATATATGAGCATACTGAGGAGCTTGGATTTTTATAGGCAGCTAGGAGCCACTAATGAAGAGCTTATGCAAAGGAGTGGCATGGTTTGTTTTGACACAGGGCTGCCTCTGTATCCCAGACTAGGATGGAACTAAGAGCTCGATAGTAGGCATGTGCTATCATATCCAGCTTTTTTCATTTTTATAGCTGTTAACCTCTGTTCATTGAATACTGGCTGAAACATGAGTGGAGATTTAAAAGTGCTAAGACAGATACATTTTTGGACAGAGAGGCAGGTAGATAGAACAGGTAGTAAGAATGAAACATTTGTTCTGCGTATGGGTATGGTTGACCATATAAGGTCCTAGATAGTGATCCTGGAGAAGCAAGACCAGAGGGGGAAGAGAAAGAGTACATACAGGGTAAAGACATGAGATGGCAGGTATAATAGACAAGACTAGTAGCTGCTGGTCTGCCATATGTTGGTACACACCTTTAATCCCAGAGACAGAGACAAGAAGACCTCTGAGATAAGGCGAGCATTTGGTCAAAATAGTGAGTTTGAGGCCAGCCAGGGCTACATTGGGAGGACCCGTTGTCAGAAGAGGAGTTGAAAGTAAGATTATGACTGAGTTAGGATTACTGTGACGCAGAGTATACACGGCATCTTAAAACTTTATCTGCACTTACTCCACCAGCCGTTAGAAGAATGCCCCCTATGGCCAGGAGTTGTTGCTCTTGATTTTGTTTTGGTTTTGGGTTAATTTTTGTTTGTTTTGGTTTTCTGCTGCTATCCCAGGGTCCTTTCAGTCTGAACTCTTAAAGATCCAGCCAACCCACAATTTTACACTTGTACACTACTTGTTTTTCCTGGCTTTGCTATTTGTTTGTTTTTTTTTTTTTTTTTTTGGGGGAGGCAGGTTCTTGGACATGGGTGTTTCATGGAGTCTTCAACCTTCCAGTAGGTTGTTCTAGACATTCTTGATCTCTACCCTTTTTACTTTTTCAGAATTTATTACATTTGTAATTTTGATTATATCCTGTCTTAGACTGTTGGTTGACTCACAAATATTTCCTCTTCAGTGTGATCTTTGAGTACCTACTGTTTAATATCTTTTCCAGACGTCAGTCATCATTTTATTTGCTTGCTTACACTACCTCCTAGTTTTTAGGTCTTCCACCGTCTGAGCATGTTCAGCTGACTGTAGGAAGTCACTTGAGATGCAGTGTGCTGTTTCCTTCTGTTTCACTTCATCCTTCATTTACTGACAGCTCCCTTCACAACTGCTCCTGACTATTTTATTTATAAACATGTATTTCATTTCTATGCTGGGTATGTGTCTATCATGTTTATGGTTTGAGGGTTATAGTGGGTAGAAGTGACAAATGAGAGCGTTGGCTGGCCAGGTTTGGCCTGTGCTGAGCTGTTCTGGTGCACAGTAGCGTGAACACTACTACTGAGTAAAGTGACATACCCTAGATGGTGGATCTTGTTTTGTTTTGCTCTGATTTTTGGTAACAGCAGAACCTGAATCCACCTTCCATTCTGTTTTAGTGGCAATCCAGTACTGAATAGAGTCTTAAGGAGTAGTAAGTCTCAAGACTTACTCAGCTTGACTAACTCATTCCCACTTATATCTGTTCTTAGTCATATCTAGTCAGTTCTGAGGAATTTGGGGTTTCGTTTGTTTTGACAGCATTGGGGACTGTGCTGAGGCCTTTACATATGCTAAGCAAGTACTTTATCACCTGGCTAGAGCTAAAGTGTCTCTTCCTCCTCTTCCTCCTCCTCCTCCTCCTCCTCCTCCTCCTTCTCCTCCTCCTCCTCTTCCTCCTCCTCTTCTTCCTCCTCCTCTTCTTCTTCCTCCTCCTCTTCTTCCTCCTCCTCTTCTTCCTCCTCCTCTTCTTTCTCCTCTTCCTATTATTATTATTATCATCATCATCATTATAGTCTACATTTAAGTGAGATTATGTAGTATTTTGGCTTATTTTACTTAGCATAATCTTCAATTTTATCTGTCATTCCCAATGTTAAGACACCCTTTTTTGATGCTGAGGAACATTCCAGTATATATGTGTGTGTGTATCTGTGTGTGTCTGTCTCTGTCTGTCTCTGTCTTTCTGTCTCTGTCTCTCTCTGCCTTTCTCTCCCCCCCTTCTCTCTCTCTCTCCATATCTGTATCTGAGTGTGTGTCTCCATGATATCTCCATCATCCATGTGTGTGCTCATAAATAGGTCTATGCTATAGTTTCTTTATCTACTGGGACATTCAAGTTTTGACACATCTTTGCTATTGTGAATAATTCTGTGATGGACTTGGAGTCTGTATCATCCTACAAGGCACTTGAAAGTGTTGCATTCTTCTCTTTGGGGTATGTATCTGAGGAGGTGCTGCTAGGTCATATGAAGTAGTTTTCATTTCTGAGGCATTGTTAAGCTCTTCAATTTCTCAATGATCGAACCTCCTATTGAACAAAGTTCAAGAACTCAAGTGACTTTATAGAGCTTCAGAGTAGAAAACTGAGATGTAAGAAAGCTGTGGCTTCAAGCATGTAGTGTGGTGTAGATGATTGAGATTCTTGGGTGTACTTAAGAGGCTGTTCACAGCTCATATGGCACCCCAGAAAATCTGGTACCTGTGTTCTCTGGTGCATGCCCATAGCTCATTCTGTCACATTGGTAGATGAGTCACCAGGAGAGTTAGGGTGATGTTGAGGTTAGTCTGGCTTATTCAGTATGCCACCATGGTTCTGCATTGTGAGCTGATTTGGAGGCCAGTGTATGCTAATGTTTGAAACTGAACAGTGATGATTGCTGATTAAGAACCTCCTAATGGGGGCTGGAGAGATGGCTCAGTGGTTAAGAGTTTAATTTTCAGCAATCTGTAATGGGATCTGATGCCCTCTTCTGGTGTATCTGAAAACAGAGACAGTGTACTCATACATAAAATAAATAATTCTTAAAAGAAAGGAAGAAAGAAAGAAAGAAAGAAAGAAAGAAAGAAAGAAAGAAAGGAAGAAAGAGAGAAAGAAAGAACCTCTTAATGCCAGATTCCTTTTTTCCTGTGAGAGCTGTCTTTTGAATTGTGTGACAAATAAATAAGATTTATAGTTCTCTGCTAATAAGATGGAAAATAGCAGCCTACTTTCACAGAAAATAGTTAAGAAAATAATTTTGTTTGGTTAATAGAGTCATTTTTCCTTTCCTATTATTAAAGAGGAAAGAGGATTTACATGCATAAGATTAGATTAATGTACACAGTAAATTCACAGAAAATGCTAAGGCCTCATTTTGTTTTAAGAACACAGCCACCAGTAAATTGTTTAAATTGATAAAAATGAAAGATGATATGTTTTAGTGTGTGTAGTGATTCTGAAAAGGAGCAAGGAAAACAGGAGGTAGTAGAAAAGCAGTTTAGCAGTGAGCTGTAATCAGTAACTATGTTCAGAAATTAAGGAGAA